GAATTTTTAATCAGCCATAACTTCGGAACCATAAGTCACATAAAATTAAAATTTGTAATGCAAACATATCAATGGTAGGTGCTTATAGTAAGGTTTATATAAATGAGATTGTAAATGGGAGCGTGGCACATAATATAGGCGTGGAACTTTTTATCAGCCATATTTTCGGAACCACTAGTCACATGACTAGTGCATTTCGAATTTAAAAGACCTCAGTTTCCAGATCGCTTAGCTTTTGCAATGACAATAAACAAGAATGCCTCAAAGTAAAACAAGAAACTTTATCGAAAATAAAATGTATGATAATTGTATTGGAAAATGCATTTATGTTAATAGATATTTTGAAGTATTAAAAAAATGCTGTGAAATCATATTAGTTTATATTCGTAAGAAATCAGATAGTATTTCTTCCATTATATAATTTATTGGAAATATTTTAACCTATATAAAAACACCTGCAGTGCCAAAAAAATTTCTCCGTTTGGCAACTTTGGTATTTTGCGTTGTTTCCTTTCGATCAATCTTCGAAATTTACGATTATACCTATTCTACATTTCGATCGTAGTTCCGTTTTTCTAAGTTGCAAATTTGCTGACGGAGAACGTTTCGATAGTTATTTTCATGGGTTTAAATAATAAAATTTTATTGAAAAAATTAAGTAAAATATACTATGCATGATTTTAAAAGCCATCATAAATGAATTTTCTCAATTTCTGTGTTTTCGCGAGCGGTAGTACGAGCAATTGGCTCAAATAATGGCAACCAAAAGGGATATTGCGCGAGGTTTTCAAAGAGGATGTCCAGGCGTGTTTGTTTTCATTATCTATAAATAAGACTGAAATGCACTGAATACAATTTATTCTTTTTGTATAAAATTTATAGATGTACATATCTACGTACATACATACATACATACATACATAAAATGTGAAGTTACATAAAAAAGAGGTTTTTATAATTGCACTCGTTTTTACTAACTTTTTAAAAAGAGGTGTGTATGTTGTCTCGAATTCGTTTTCTATGGAAGGATAAACTTTGTTCTTCCCCTCCTCCTGACGGCTTTCAAAATGGAATTCATTTGCGTTCAAATCTTCCACTCTGTAATAAATGCAAATGTTGTGGAGTGCTCAAACAACGTTTATTATTTCACTGCATTTGAGCGATGAGTAATAGAGTTCAAGATGAATTTCTTATTACTCTTCATTCATCTGAGAGGGATCAAACATGTCCCGCATCAGCAATCTGGGACTCGTGCTCCTCTTCAAGCAATAACGTCGCAGCTATGGATTTCATTCTTATAATTATGTTTCCACTTAAATTAAGAGCAAACGAAATTTTATTTTTAAATTACAGTGATGCTAGATATGTTTAGTTATTTTAAAATATTTACAAACTCCAACTTCATAAGCTGCTATAGTTAGGTGGCCAATATTTCTTTGTTTTGTTTCGATATCACACATTCCCAGGCGAACAGCTGACATCGAAAGATGTTTTCTCTCTTCCTCTTTCGATTCGATCGTAACGCAAAATGCCTAAGTTCGATTCTTGCGAAGCGGAATGCGGGAACGTAATCGAAATGCAGAATAGGGCTGATTATTGCATTTCATTCGATAACACCCAAGCTATACAGCTGTCCTACCATATGCTGCTATCACGGCTGTATATTGTCAATTTAATCTAATGCTTTGTATTGCGCCCCACGCTTTTCATTTTCAATCTCATAAATTGTTTATAATAACTTTTGCTAAAATTTCAAAATCAAAAGTTGTGAAAACAGATTCTATGGGACTGAGAATTATTATTTTATACTATTTAGTCCATTTATAAAAGCGTTGTATATTAAAAAGTTTTTTATATTATTTATTTGTAGTCTTGTCTGTATAAAATTTTGCAATAGATATTGTATAGTAGTATCAAGCACTAAATAGTATGTGAAGTATAAACACCTTTTCAAGTTTCTTAATAGCAAGTACTAAGAAGTATGTTAAGTATCACCACCTTGTAATATTGCTGAATAGCATCAGTTTTGGCTTATCATTGTTTTTCCTGAGTCGTTCTTCACATTCCACTACATACACTTGAATAAAGCATCGTTTATTACACTGGCGACGAGGTTAGCGGATCAATAAGCAAAAAATGTCTTCCACTTTACTTGGATTAGGGCCTCATTTTGATTGTGACCATAATCTTTGGCACATTTTTAAGCCACAGCTACATTTAAAGAAAAATTGTCAAGTGCGAATCTGCGGTGATTTTAAAGTTTCAGTGAACCCCCATTTGCCCCGAATCAAAGACATTTTCGCAAAATTGAACGGGGGAGTAGAGTTTAGCAAATTAGATACAGTTACGAGCAAAACTGTAACATGGTGTAGCACTTTTTAATTCAGCCGCCGCTATCTTTCCAAGTTTCAACGACTTTTATACCTTTGTTGTATATTCTAGTTGGTACACCCCTACTCCCTCTCTAATAACGATTTGAAGGCAATCCAACAACAATAAAAAAACTTGCAGACAAAAATGTAAATTAAGGCAAATGTTACAGTTTTGCACTCACTCTCAGTTTTACATTTTACATTTATCTTTTACTTAGTTGGAAGTCAGATGACTTTTTTCTGTATTGTAATTTATTCAAGAAATGATCACTAGTAAATAATATGGTTAATCTGGAAACATAAATGTATATAATAGATTTACTGCGGCAAGGCGGGACCGCAGGAAAAGTGCCAAAAAATTGTGGAGTTTGCCACATGAAAATTTTAAGACTGAGAAAAAATATAGCCTGAAGTGTTACTAAGTACAAGGGAATCCTGTCAAAAATTATTACGGTCCGATATCTTGTGAACTTAGCAGCAAGTAGCGATGCAGCCACTATTACAGAAGCGCTTAAGGTATCAAAATTGAATGCAAATCAGTAGACAGAGAGGCGAAGAATTGCC